ATTATTTTATGGTTTGTGTTGTTTTTTAATTTTGGATTATTTTGAAAAGTCGTAAATAAAATAGATATGTAATCGAAAATTTAAGACATTTTCGACGTTAATGTCTTTCGTGGTCTTTCATAATGTTATTTTTTATTGCCTCGCACCCATTTAAAATTGAAATGTGCGCCTGTGGTCGAATTTTATGTTATGGATATTTCATGTGGTTTTAGTTTTTCCGACATTTCTGAAACGACCCGACAACGTTACGGTAAAAGCCGGCGCCGTCGCGAAATTAGTCTGCGCCGCTCATGGCGAACCTCAGCCGGAAATCGCTTGGCAAAAAGATGGCGGAAATGATTTTCCGGCAGCGCGAGAAAGACGCATGCATGTACTACCAGCCGACGATAGTTTTTTCATCTCAAACGCTAAACCAACCGACATGGGAATTTACAGTTGCACGGCACATAATGCCGCTGGAACTATAGTCGCAAACGCCTCGTTGACGGTTTATGGTAAAAGCGGAACCTTTTTTATCGGCTTTCCTTGACCTCACGTTTTAGAAAAACCTTCATTTGTAAAATCAATGGAAAACAAGGAAGTGACCGCTGGTGAATTGGTGGTACTTCAATGCATGGCCAGCGGTACACCGAAACCCACCATCACGTGGTACAAAAATGGCGAACCGATTCGGGCAACCGAACGCCATTTTTTCACCGCAGAGGAACAACTTATGATAATTGTAGACACCGTCCAATCGGATTCTGGGAAATATGAGTGTCATTTGAACAATTCTCTTGGGGAAAAGACCGGTTATAGCCTCCTGAGAGTGAAGCCAGGTAAATTGTCATTTCCGGACAGTAAGACAATTAAGTAGGTTTCGTTATAGGAAACTTCACGACGACTGACATGATGGGTATTATAATAATCACGGTGGTGTGTTGCGCTGTTGCAACATCCATCATTTGGGTGGTGATTATTTACCAGACGCGGAGGCGGATGCCGCCCCCGGCTGCGCCGCCCCTCGAGGGCCCCTTGGAGCTGGACCGTGGGGTGCAATTCACTGATAATGCGTCCGATAGGTCGTCGTGTCGTGATAGTGGAACGGGGGACTCGGCCCGTCGCAGTAACGATGATCTGGCACACGAAGACTACAAATTGATTATTAATGAGGAGCCCCAACCTGGCTGGAATGTGATGCGAATTGCTAGTTTGACGTATATCCCAGCTGATCCGAACAGTTCGCATGCCCCACTCCTGCCAGGCACACCCTATGTCCGATCTACCAATCACGACCGACCTGAAACACCGGAAAAAGAGGCGCCACCAGCAGAATTAAATCAAACCACCGAGAATTGAACACTGCTGGAAAGTCAATTTCCTATTCAATGGTACAATTAAGTGTATATACTGTATTTTTTAGTTCCTGTCTTAGTTTATTTAATTTTTTTTTTCGACTGTTGCCGAGTTATTTATTAAGTTATTTATGTTCGGAGTTACATAATGACGTCGAACTGATTTCACACGAGTTGTGACAATAACCTAAGTTAGGTGAGATTTATACCAAAGCATTTTGTGATGCGGTAAAATGACCGGAGGCCTTATCTATAAATGAAAAATATTTTTCTAGCGATGTAATTATATTTAAAAAGTGTGTTTAAAAACGATACCAGTTATACAAATTCCATTGAAACACCAATGTGACGTCTTATGTAACTTTGGATGAATGTCCCAGTTTTATTACTTTGAAATTCCCGTGATATTATGTTGATAAGTGGACATAATTTTTGTATATTTACAAAGTTTTATTAGTATACTGCCCATTAAAAGTATAATTCCTGTAGATATTAATCTATATTAGTGCAGTTGTAAAGTATTGAAATGTGTTTGTGTTGAATGTGTTTATTTATTAATGTGTGTAAGTCGTATGAGTGTCGTCGATATTGTTTTTATTGTGTTATAAGCAATTTATATTAACACTATTTTGTTAATACGTTTTAAATTTATGGTATTTTTTTCGATAATTTTTAAGTTCTTGTAATCCCACTTTATAGTATTACTAAGTATACCTCATTGTGATTTATAATTTTTTGTCTAAAATAAAATAATGCCTATATTATGTAAAGTGGTCTTAGGCTTGCACTAAAATTCATTACAAGCTTCAGTTTGGAGTGAATTTTAGTTAGTCCCTCCCTTGAAATACGCTTTTTGTAACAAATGTGCAACTCGGAAGTATTGGGCATGCTAATGGCACGTTTTGATTAAAAGTTTAGTCCTATTCAAACACTGTTTCATTTAAAACCCAACTTTATTAAATAAATAATCAACAGAAAATCAACGGTTAAGTCGTTTCAATGCACGCGCTCGGATATTCTCCATGGTCCTGATGACCAACCATCTGGAAAGTCGTGGAGACACCGCCTCCAGACTGTGAATCACCCCCACGAGCAGCGTATGGGGGTAGTAACCAGTCGTGCGCTCCAAAACCCCGATGGTTTTCATAGCCTCCTTGACGAATTTCAGCGGCGAGGGGGCCATCCACGTCGAGGTTCGTATCTTCGACATGTTTGTTGCAACATATCCTGGGAGAATACACTGGATGGTTACCCCAAATTTGGAGTATTCGGAATTCAAGTCCTGGGAGAATTTCTCAACGTAGGCTTTACTCGCGGCGTAAACCGTCAAAAGGGGGCTGGGGATTTGGGCTGCAGTGGAAGACAAGTTTACCACAACCCCACGACGCCGCTCGACCATTCCAGGTAAGACAATTTTGCACATATTCGTCACGGAGTAAACGTTGCAATTGATTATGTTATTGTAAACCTCGTCTTTGTTTTTCAAGTCGAGGAAATACTCAGGATGGGGGTAACTCATCCCGACGTTGTTTATTAAAACACCGATTTCCAAGCCGGTTAATTGCTTATCGATGTGGCTGTAAATGGGCTCGGTTTGTGTGAAGTCAGCTTCGATTATTTTCGTCTCCACTTGGTATTTTGACGCTATTTCATTGGCGACTTTTTCGAGTTTTTCACGAGTCCGCGAAATGAGGACCACGTTTAGGCCCTTCTTGGCCAAGAGCTCAGCGTAGGCTTTGCCAATTCCATCAGTAGCGCCGGTCACAACTGAAAAAATTGAAAATTAAACAGGGAATTTTCATTCGAAATATTAACGATATTTATGATGGGCAATTGGGGCCTACTCGCCCCCAAATTTTGATAAAAATCATGTGAATTTAAAAAAAAATTGAGCTCAAAGGTTGGCTACGTTGAATGAGCCCACTTCTCTTGGATCGAGCAAAATTGGATTGAAAATAGCTCAAATCGTTTTATTTTAAAAGAAAACTCTTATTAAAGCCAGTATTTGGTTGAAATACTTTGTTTTATTTTGTGAGAAAACTTTTATTCAAAACATTATTGTGTTGAAATATTTTGATTCAAATTAATTTAAGGCTTAAGACCGCTTGAGAATGTCACAAATTGCTTTATTTCATCCTAGAATTCGGATTGAAAAAATTATTTTTTAATTTCGAATTAATTCTGTATTAAAATCGAGCAAAATTCAATTGAAAATAGCTTTATTTCAGGCTAAAATTGGAATTGAAGCAATTATTTTATTAAAAAAAACATTAGTTTTGAATTAATTCAGTATTAAAATCAAACAAAATTGGATTGAAAATAGCTCAAATTGCTTTATTTTAAAAGAAAACTTCTATTCAAGTCAGTAATTGGTTGAAATTTTTTGATTCAGGTTGATTCCCAACTTAAAATTGGGCCAAATGGATTGAAAATAACACAAATTGCTTTATTTCAGCCTAAAATTGATATTGAAGCAGTTATTTTTATAAAATACATTAGTTTCGAATTGTTTCTGTATTAAAATCGAGTAAAATTGAATTAAAAATAGCTCAAATTGCTTTATTTCAGTCTAAAATTGGAATTGAAGCAGTTGTTTTAATAAAAAACATTAATTTTGAATTAATTCTGTATTAAAATTGAGCAAAATTAGATTAAAAATAGCTCAAATTGCTTTATTTTAGCCTAAAATTGTAATTAAAGCAATTATTTTAATAAAAAACATTAGTTTTGAATTAATTCTGTATTAAAATCGAGCAAAATTGGATTGAAAATAGCTCAAATTGCTTTATTTTAGAAGAAAATTCTTATTAAAGCCAGTGTTTGGTTGAAATACTTTGATTTAGGTTGATTCCCAACTTAAAATTGAGCCAAATCGATTGAACATATCACAACTTGCTTTATTTCAGCCTAAAATTAAGATTGAAGCAATTATATTTACAAAATACATTAATTTCGAATTATTTCTATATTAAAATCGAG